GAGCCCCCGTCCCGTGCGGTCACCACTACAGCATAGTCCGACACGCTCTCGCGGTCCAGGGCGCTGTCCAGCACCAGCGAATAGTAATTCTTGAAGGTGGACACCAGCTTGAAGGGGACATGGGGCGACAGTGTGCAGGTCACCTGGCCATTAGCTCCAGAATCACGGTCGGACACGCTGATCAGGGCGATGACAGTGCCTACCTGAGCATCTTCTTGTACCGGAAGAGCCAAAGAAGTGATAACCACCTCAGGTGAATTATCATTTTCATCCAGAATTTCCACTAAGACAGTGCAGTGACCAACCATAGGTGGGTTTCCTGTATCTGTCACATCTACATGAATTTCATAAGTGTTACTATCCTCAAAGTCAATAGCATCATTTATTCGTATTTCTCCCGTTTTTTCATTCATTAGAAATTTCCTTCTTACGCTGGATGGAACCAAAGCACTAAATGAATATATCATTTCTTTGTTTATTCCTTCATCCGCATCAGACGCATTCAGCCATATTACTAACGTTTGGTTCGCTGAATTTTCATACATTTTAACTTCATAAACGGATCGGTCACACATAGGCGCATTATCATTGGCATCCAACACCAAGATCAGCAGAGTAACAGATCCAGTATATTCGGGTTTGCCTCCATCGGTTGCCGTTAATAATAACTGAAGCTGAGGATTTGCTTCACGATCCAGCATTTTTCCTAGAACAAGCACTGGAAATTTGCCTTTGTCTTTTTTGTTTATAATATCAAGAATGAAAAACTCATTTGGACTGAGTCTGTAAGTAAGCACTGCATTCTCTCCAACATCCGCATCAGATGCGCCTTCTAGCGGAAATCGAGAGTCAAGCAGCCGAGATTCGGGTATTGAAAGCTTTTGTTCTGAGACGGAGAAGACTGGTGGGTTGTCGTTAATGTCCTTCACCTCCACCTCCACATGGAAAACCTGCAGCGGCCTGTCCACGATCACCTCCAGGTGGATGCTACACTCTGCGTTCCGCCCGCACAACTCCTCCCGGTCGATCCGAGCATTCACAAACAAAATACCATTCTGCAGATTTACCTCCAGAAGATCCCCGCGACCTTTGGACTCCACTCGGAAAAACCGCGGCACCAGCTCCGCCAGCTCCAGCCCCAGGTCCTGCGCGATGCGGCCCACGAAGGTGCCGTGTTTGGCTTCCTCCGGGACCGAGTAGTGGACCTGACCGCTCCCCGCCTTCCAGGCTGCGACGAGCAGAAGCAAGAGAAGCAGGCGCCAGTCTCTTGGCCCCCTGGGTCTGTAGACCAACATCATACCTTTCTGCCGATTTACAAATTGATGAATCAGCGGTCTAGAACAACTGCTGTCTGAATTTTCCTATTCGATTTCTTACATCCACTTTTATGGAAACGGCCGAGATCTGCGAATGTAGTTCCTTTCTAGTCCTCGAGAAACAGGATTATGCCTTTGTTCCAAAAAAAATTTTGTGGAAGACAGCGACATCCGGTGGCTGAATGTGTAAGTACAATTCCGTGAGTTTTAACAACTTGTCTTTCATTCACAGCGTTTGATTCTATTTGTACATATTTGTAGCTCTATGGATCTTCAAAACTTCACATGAGGTCTCTTTTGTACATAATAGTAATCATTGTCGACCTTCAGTTCAGCGTTTTCTTAAATTCAGAATCTCGGGAAGTAATTTCTTCCCCATGACTCTCATTAGCTACATTTGAAAATGCTCTTAATATTTTATAATACTAGTGTATTAGTATTTTGCTGGATAACAAATTTATATGTCTTCAAGTTTGATACTTAATTCATTTCTCTTTCTCATTATTTTTGCGATTAAATAAACCTTACCAGATGCTAATCTCAAGTATCACTTCTCTGTGAGGTGTTTGAAACTCTTAAATTTCAGTAATCACTAGAAAGTTGAGAGAAGAACACCGGCTCAATATTGGAAATGACTCCATTCTGATTCCTATTCTTAAACTTACTGGTTGTGTGACTCTCTCTGTCTCTGTTTCCAGTTTCATAACATTCATACAATAATAATATGGGGGTTGTGTGAATTATGATACATTAGATACCTAGGATATTACCTTAAGGAGACCTAGGATATTACCTTAAGGAAAGTGAGTGGCTCATGAATGGCAATATTTTCAGCCCTCAATTTAGCCACATTTATTTTCATAATGGTCTAGACCAAAATCAGCTTTTTGGTAAAAATTATTACCTATATAATATTATCATTCTGCAATACCTTTACGATTGCTACTACACAGGCTGAGTGGTGGGTGGTTCCCATCTTAGGAAAGCAGAAAAGTACTTTTTTTGAGAAATCAGTTATACAGGGAGAAGTTACATTTTTTATATGTATCTTACATGGGAAAAAAGAACTTTAATTATGATTCTAAAGATAAGCACTTTCATCTTTGTTACATTTAAGCTTTTTGAGTACCCCAAATATACAGTTTGGGAATTATCTAATAGTTTTATCAGTGTCAATAAAATATCCATTATCACCTGGAGTAAAATATTTTCTGTCTTAGAGTTTTTAGAATCAAGTATTTAGCAGATGAAATTCTCTATTAATATATCTGCACTACTGAAAAAAGAGAAAAAGTTCTTTTTTTTCCCCAAAAAGGAAAAACTTAATAATAGGACCTTTGGTCTTATCCAAAGGTTATTTTCTTTACTTTAATGATATTAAATGAAATTAAAATATTGTAAGTTATAACAGAGATCAATAATTTTGAACTCTTTCAGTTGCTATTAAGAGCTGAAAAACAGACTAACACTTATGAACAAAAAAAGTGACAGGAATGAGAGTCATTTAATTCATGGATTCACGTGTGCCATTAAATTGTTTTTATAATCTTCTACTTCTTCAGATTGACCCTAGGTGAAAATCCATTCAAATTCTGGTTTTAGTGGCTATTTTTCTTGTAAAGCACAAATTAAAGTGTAACAACTTATGTATCTATCTACGATACCAATCAGTGTTTAGTTTGAGCTACTTTCTGGAATCGAAAAATAAGTTTATTAGTGAATAATCATCACAACACAAGGTAATAATATAAACTATACTCCATTCCTGTTAATGTGCATTTTATAGCAAGTAATAGCATAAATGTGCCAGTTAAATCTGCAATAATGAATACAAAGCAGGGGTAGTTAAATTATATACTCTCAAATAATAGGAACTTGCTTCGCTAAGTGTCTCATAAGCCTATTAGATCTAAAACTTCAGCTGAATAAGAAACACCTGGAGTGCTTATTGAAAAGCAAGTTTGCCAGTCCTACTTATTTCAGAAATTGTGGAGTAGAGTCTGGGAACCAGAATGTTCAATAAGGACTCCAGATGTTGCTAATGCAGTTAGCATTATCAGGTCTAGGATAGGATAGGCTGGCCATAGACCCCAAGTTACCTGGGATATACTCTGTTTATGTCTGTAGTCTTGTATACTTACTTATACTGTCCCTTCACTCTCAAAAGTGTCTAAGATTAAGTCAGAACTTAGATAGTTAACCCTATATAAAAACTACAATTTAGGGGCTGACATAGGAAGTTTCATTATTGATTTAATGGTTGCTGCTTGAATTGAGGAGTGTTACCCACAGGAACACAGAGGGCTAGTTACTAGGCAAAAAACTAAAATGTCTTCCATGCTCTCACTTCTCCATTTTGAACTTCTCAGCTGTTTCAAATCCTAACCTCCCTGGATCCCAGTGTGTGCATGCTTCCTGATGATCCAAAAGATAAATACATTGCTAGATGTTCACTGTTCTTCTGAAAATTTGCACATGATGATAGCCCATATTAAAGAGAAAATAAATATTAATATAAAGGATGAAATTACCAATTATATCAATACAGCTATCAATAATAAAGAATAAAATTTATAATTATAGAAAACATAGTAAATAATAAATAATACTAGCTCTAAGAGACTAAAGGAGCGGGGAGTTAGATTTCTAGCACTCCTCGATCCATATAATTCATATAACATATAATCAAATACCTGAGCCCAATTCAAGTAACATATGGAACCTGAAAAAAAGTGCAAGGACAGAGATATTTGAAGGTATAAGTCTAGATCTAAGGCGAGTTATGCTGACAGACATAGACAAGATTGATTACAGGAGCTCAGAGAATACTCAAGTTTGTAAATAAACATGATGAAAAGAAAACAGATCACTTTGTAACATATAACAAACATGTCCTCTATAAGGGAAAAGAAAAAAATACTGAAATATATTATTTAAATTAATTTCACTTGCACTTTCATTGTTATATTGTGGCTCTATTCTCAAAGGTACTCTGATTTTGCTCTGAGGTTTTTTTTTTTAAGTTCATTTATTTATTTTGAGAGAGAAGAGAAAGCATGCATGAGCAGGGGAAGGGCAGAGAGAGAGGGAGAGAGAATCCCAAGCAGGCTCCATGCTCTCAGTGCAGAGCCTGGGGAGGGGCTCAAACTCACAAACCATGAGATCATAACCTGAGGGAAAACCAAGAGCTGGACGCTTAACAACTGAGCCACCCAGGTTCCCCACTCTGCTGAGTTTTTAATTAAGGAGTACCTTGTAAAATATCTAACACAATAAAAACACCAGAATATAAAAATAAGTCACATAACAAAAATGCTACATAAATATACAGGAAGTTTCTAAAATATATATTAGAAAATAAAAGCTTGGACTAAAGACCCAGTGTGAAGAACCACCACAATTCAGGAAATATAAATTTAACATGTAATAAGTTTAAAGGTGTACAATCTCATCTCCAGATTTCTGTCTTTCAGAATATTGAGAAGAAAAGTAAATCATCCTCTCCACTGATGGAGTAACTTTTTAAGTTACAGACTATGAATTTCAAGAGAATTCAGAGTGTAGAATTTAGATATATCTCTAATGCTCACACATTATATACTAACAAAATTTTTAGTAAAAAGGAGAAAGTCATTTGAAGAAAGAAAGTACATGTCAGGAAGTATTTTCTCCAATATCAGATAAAATATCAATGTCAAGCATAAAGAAACATATTTTACACAAGTTGGAAGGAGTATTACATTTCTAACATTTGGTGTTTGATTCCTAAAGCAAAGTAACTGATTTCGAGGGTACACTGAAATTTACTCATTGACGTAAACACTGAGTAGTGCTGACCAACCATGTTTCCAGTCTCCATCCAGAGGAAAGTAAAAAACTACAAAGTTAACAAGGTAACAGCTACTACATATTTCTGCTTATGGGTTTCTTATAAACAACAGAATTATACTAAAATATCATGCATACTTTAGAAATGAATAAATGACAGAGTGATGCTGAAGTATACTTAATGTGTAGCAATTAAATTGTTTTTCAACTGATACTTCTCAGGCAGAGAGGTAGCCTGGCTATAGAAATTCAATACGACCCCATAACAGATTTTAAATAAAACTGATTCAGTACCCAATAAATACCTACTCAATGTATGGTTTTTAATGATTCTCATTAGAAATTGAAACTCAAAAGTCAGGTATAAAAGTACTCACTTCTGAAAAACAAGAAAATATTGACAGATCTCTATAATAACTGGGTAAAACTATTTAAGTACCGTCTGAGGTAACGAGAATATTTTTCAGGCTTCAAATATAAATCTATAAATAAATAAAATATTTGAACAACCGACCTTTCCAGAAGACTCCAAAGAAGCTTGTGGATCTTCCGTTGGATTCAGAGATCCAGGACACGGGGGAAGGCTGGGACTAAAAGCCATAAGGTCCGTCTTGGGCGGACCCTCCCCAGAGCACACCCTCTGCCGCCTCTGCTGCGAGTACGACCAGCTCCCCACCG